TTAAGTTGTGTGAAAAAACATTTTGTTTTTCAATATTTCTTGACCAAACACGGCATTTATTAGGTTTACTATACTCCTCATATATAGGCAAAATTCTATTAAGATCGGACCTCTATATCATATATATGCCATAAGAACGATCGGTCGAATATTAAGTTGTTGTGTGAAAAAACAGTCTGTTATTCAATATATCTTGACCAAACATGGCATTTATTAGGTTTATTATACTCCTCATATATATGCAAAATCCTATTAAGATCGGACCACTATATCATATAGCTGCCATAGGAAGAATTGGTCGAAAATTAAGTTTTTGTATGCAAAAACATTTTGTTTAGCACGATATCTTGACCAAACTCGGCATTTATTAGTTTTACTGCTCTCCCCATATATATGCAAAATTCTACTTAGATCGGACCACTATATCATATAGCTGCCATAGGAACGATCGGTCGAAAATTAAGTATTTGTATGCAAAAACATTTTGTTTATCACGAAATCCTAACCAAACTCGGCATTTATTAGTTTTACTAGTCCCCTCATATATATGCAAAATTCTATTAAAATCGGACCACTATATCATATAGCTGCCATAGGAACGATCGGTCGAAAATGTAGTTGTTGTGTAAAAAAACATTTTGTTTTTTGAGATATCTTTACAAAACACGGCATTTATTAGGTTTACTTTACTCCTCATATATATGCAAAATTCTACTTGGATCGGACCACTATATCATATAGCTGCCATAGGAACAATCGGTCGAAAATTAAGTTGTGTGAAAAAACATTTTGTTTTTCAAGATATCTTGACCAAACACGGCATTTATTAGATTAACTATACTCCTCATATATATGCAAAATTCTATTAAGATCGGACCACTATATCATATAGCTGCCATAGGAACTATCGGTCGAAAATTAAGTATTTGTATGCAAAAACATTTTGTTTAGCACGATATCATAACCAAAAATTCAATATATCTTGACCAAACACGGCATTTATTAGGTTTATTATACTCCTCATATATATGCAAATTCCTATTAAGATCGGACCACTATATTATATAGCTGCCATAGGAACGATTGGTCGAAAATTAAGTTTGTGTATGCAAAACATTTTGTTTAGCACGATATCTTGACCAAACGCGGCATTTATTAGTTTTACAACTCTCCAGATATATATGCGAAATTCTATTTAGATCGGACCACTGTATTATATAGCTGCCATAGGGACGATCGGTCGGAAATTAAGTTGTATGAAAAAAACATTTGGCTTTTCAAGATATCTTGACCAAGTTCGGCATTTATTAGTTTTACTACTCTCCCCATATATATGCAAAATTCTATTAAGATCGGACCTCTATATCATATATCTGCCATAGGAACGATCGGTCGAATATTAAGTTGTTGTGTGAAAAAACAGTCTGTTATTCAAGATATCTTGACCAATCACGGCATTTATTAGGTGCACTATACTCCTCATATATATACAAAATCCTATTAAGATCGGACCACTATATCATATATCTGCCATAGGAACGATCGGTCGAATATTAAGTTGCTGTGTGAAAAAACATTCTGTTTTTCTAGATATCTTGACCAAATACATTATTTATTAGGTTCACTATACTCCTCATATATAGGCAAAATTCTATGAAAATCGGACCTCTATATCATATAGCTGCCATAGGAACGATCGTTTGAAAATTAAGTTGTATGAAAAACATTTTGCTTTTCAAGATAACTTGACCAAGCTCGGCATTTATTAGTTTTACTCCTCATATATATGGAAAATTCTATTTATATCGAACCACTTTATCATATATATCGAAAATTAAGTTGTTGTATGAAAAAACATTTTGTTTTTCAAAATATCTTGACCAAACACGGCATTTATTAGGTTTACTATACTCCTCATATATATGCAAAATCCTATTAAGATCGGACCATATATCTGCCATATATCATATATCTGCCATAGGAACGATCGGTCGAAAATTAAGTTGTTGTGTGAAAAAACTTTTTGTTTTTCAAGATATCTTGACCAAACACGACATTTATTAGGTTTACTATACTCATATATATTCTAAATTCTATTAAGATCGTACCACTATATCATATAGCTGCCATAGGAACGATCGGTCGAAAATTAAGTTGTTGTATGCATTTAGTAGTTTAACAATATCCCCTTACATAGGCAAAACTCTATTAAGATCGGACTACTTTATCATATAACTACCAAAGGAACAATCGGTCGAAAATTAAGTTGTATGGAAAAAACATTTTGTTTTTCCAGATATCTTGACCAAACTCGGCAATTATTAGTTTTACTATACTCCTCATATATATGCGAAATCCAATTATGAACGGACCACTATATCATATATCTGCCATAAGAATGATCGGTCAAAAATTAAATTGTTGAATGAAACCACATTTCGTTTTTCAAGATATCTTGACCAAACTCTTCATTTATTGGGTTTACCATACTCTTCATATAATTGCAAAATTATATTAAGATCAGATCACCGTATCATATAACTCTCGAAAATATGCGAAATTCTATTAAGACCAGACCACTATATCATATAGCTGCCATAGGAACGATCGGTCGGAAATTAAGTTGTTGTGTGAAAAAACAGTGTGTTATTCAATATATCTTGACCAAACACGGCATTTATTAGGTTTATTATACTCCTCATATATATGCAAAATCCTATTAAGATCGGACCACTATATCATATAACTGTCTGTCGCGTGCCAAATGAAGGTGGAGTTGCAATTTGAACACTGCAAGTTTACGCCTGGCCCCCGGCCATGTTACTCCGATGTTACTAGAGACAGCGTAATGCAAAACGTGCTAGTGCAAGTGTTTTATTCTAAACGGATTACATAGGTTAGAACTTAGATATATATTCCCTCGGAATCTTACCGCAGTCTTTCCTCCTACGGCCTTCGAACTCACGACAATAATGAGCTTAACATTTAAGTAATGGCGGCAACAAGCCAAATACAGTGTGCCCGTACATTCGGAGGGCAAATATACATACTTTCAGAATATACTTAATACTAAACAATCGATAAATTAATTCGTCCCGCAACATCCCCGCCCCCGTGAAGGCCCTGCTTCACTCACATCCAGTATGGCTAGTTTAGCCACGGGACGAGTCATCAGTCGCACTCGGTTGTTGTCCGCCACGCGGATGCTGGCGCGTCGAGGCACTCCATCTGGTCCAGGGTAGAGCTCCTCCACTATGCCCCTTCGCCACTCTCTGCGTGGCACGGCCGGGTCGCATATAAACACCATATCACCATGGCGTATTGGCTCAACGCGCGCACACCATTTCACGCGTCGCACAAGTGTAGGCAGGTACTCTAAGACCCACCGCTTCCAAAAACGGTCTCGTAACAGCCGCGCCATGCGCCACTGCTTCCTCGTGACGCATCTCTCGTTCGGCTGCCCGTGGATAGCGGGCGTGTCAGGCAGATTGGCCACTCCTTTGAGTAGATCGTTCGGTGTTAGGGGGGCTTCTTGGTCCACAGACACCGGCAAGTGGGTAAGCGGGCGAGAATTCACAACGTTCTCGGCCTCAATCAGGAAACTCTCCAGTACGTGTTGCTTTGGTGCCACTTCCTTTACTGTGTGGCGTAGCACTCTCTTGACACACTGCACCATCCTTTCCCAGGCTCCCCCTTCAGCTGGGTTCGCTGGGCAGTTGAAGATCCATTCAATGCCTCTAGAAGATAACTCACCCTGAATCTTCTCCGGCTCGAATACATCTATTAGCCTTTTGGCTTCTCTGTTGGCCCCAACAAAGTTCTTTCCGTTGTCACTGCGCAACCTCAGTACAGGTCCGCGACGGCAAAGAAAGTTCCTGATTACGATTATACAGGAATCAGTTGACAGGTCATGTGCCAGCTCCAAATGTATGGCCCTTGTCGTCAGACACGTAAACAAGGCGACCCATCTCTTTTCCTTTCGACGTCCGATCGTCACAAGGAGTGGTCCAAAATAGTCCAGACCCGTAAACTTAAATGGCCATCCATTGGCCTCTAGTCTGTCCTCTGGCAAAGGACCCATTATAGGTGGCGCTGGCTGCGCTCTATGTAGTTTGCACACACTACATCCAGATATTACTGTACGCAACAGTCGACGCAGCTTTGTTATCCAAAATCTGGTCCTGATGTCACCTATCGTTGCATCCACGTTTTGATGCTTCATTTTCACATGGTAGTGATACACAATCAGTTCCGTCAGTGCGTGCCGGTGTGACAATATTATTGGCCTTCTCGCACTATGCGGTATACACAGTGCGGCATCGATCCTGCCATACGCACGCAAGACTCCATTGTCATCCAAGTATGGCGCCAGCCCTCTTATGTCGCTTCGATGACCGACTGATTCTTCATTGTATGAGGCTCGAACCTCGTCAGGGAACGCTTCGCATTGCGCTCGCCGTATCAGTAAGTTCTCAGCGTTCTCACACTCCGTCGCGGTGAGGCCGAATCTCTCAAGCTCAGTCCTCTGTCCACGGCTCCAGCGCGTAAACCTTAAAACCCAAGCCGTCGTCCTCACCAGCCGACTGTAGCTAGAGAATCTCTGAAATGAAATGAAAAAGCTATTTGCTGCAACTAAGGCAAATTCACTCGGCATCTCTTCTTCATCTTCGTAGGATGAGTGTTCCGTGCCCGGTTCGGACTGCGGCCAGCTGCTTTCTGGCTGCCGCAAAAATGTTGGCCCGTCTAACCATCGTGACCGTTGGCTGAGGTCTACGTGGCAATGCGGCCTCGTTGCGTCGTCTGCTGCATTTTCAGCAGTAGGTACCCATCTCCATTGGGAAACCTTTGTTGACTCCAAAATTTCTCCCACTCGATTTCCGACGAACTGCTTATATCGACGGTGGGTGCTGCCTATCCAACGCAGCACAGTTTTGGAGTCAGTCCATAGTATAGCGTCGCTGATCGCTATACTGTGCTCCTTTTTGACAGTGTCCATCAGCCTCGTTCCTAACACGGCTGCTTGCAATTCCAGTCGTGGAATTGACATCGTCTTCATTGGGGCACACTTCGTCCTGGCACATACGAAGCATACTCGCACGTCGTTGTTGTCGTAGGTGACCCTCAAGTAAGTCACGGCTGCGAATGCTGACTGGCTAGCATCGACAAAAACGTGCAGCTGTATTGCCCGCACAGGTGTTGGGCCGAAGTAATGGCGCGAGCTCCGAAATCCTTCCACGTTGTTCATATCCTGAAACCATCTGCTAAAGGCCCGGGCGATCTCATCTGGTAATGGTTCATCCTATTGCACATTTCGTCGCCAAATCTCACGCATTAGTAACTTTCCAGTTATCATGAGGCAACTAAGAAATCCCAGAGGATCGAATGTTGAAATGATCAAGCTCAAGAATTCCCTCTTCGTAGGAATTCGCTCCAAATTTAGCACACATCGGGGTACTTTGTGGTACTTCATGTTGAATTTGAAATCGTCCGTGGCTGGTTGCCAACACATGCCTAGAATCTTTTCTTCAGCTTCGCCCCATCCGATGCTCCTCGCAGTCCCATGTTGGCCCAGCGCGTCAGCTACAGTTGGCGAACTGGAAGTAAACTGGCACAATTCGAATCCAGCATTTGCATGTATTTCTCTTATTCTTGTCGATATGGTGATGGCTTCGCCTTCACTATCAAAACTATCCACATAGTCGTCCACATAGTGGCATTCAAGAATAGCTTTAACCGCGCGAGGGTCTGAATCCTGAAACTGCAGGGCATTCAAGGTCTTCACATAGTGTGCGGCGCTTGGCGAACATGCTGCTCCAAACGTCATTACCCTCATCTCATAAACATCAGGCTCCCGGCGATCATCGCCGTTTCGCCACAGGAATCGCTGGGCGCATCTGTCCTGCGGTCGAATCAACACTTGATGGAACATCTCTCGGATGTCTCCACAAACGCCAACGGCACCTTCCCGAAAATGGAAGAGAACAGCCGGCAGCGACTTATAGTGCTGCGGCCCCTTGGATAATGCCGAATTCAATGAAATATCACCAACCTTTGCTGCCGCGTCGAACACCAGTCTTATCTTACCGGGCTTATTTGGATTTTCAACTCCAAAGTGCGGAAGATACCAAAGTTTGTCGCTGTTGGCTAAAGCGACCTCATGCTGCTTCAATCGTCGAGAATATCCTTTGTGAACATAATCGTCCATAATTTTCATATAGGCTTGTTTAAACTGATCGTTACGCTTCATCTTTCTCTCAATGTTGACCAATCTTTTGTATGCCATATCATAGCTTCGTGGCAATTCAACATTATCACGGTTCCATAATAAACCCGTCTGGTAACGTTCTTCTATTTTCACTGTGGTGTCTTCGAGTATCCTCTGTGCTCGTGCATCGTCGCTGGCTGCGACTGGTGGCGTAAGCTTCACCCCGAAGTTTTCGATATCAAAATAGTCGTTTACCATCTTTTGGATTGCATCCTCCTGCGACACTGCTAGGAGGCATGACTTTGATGACGTTGCCGTCGGTTGATCTCTTGCCGGCCCAAAAACCACCCATCCAAGTTCGGTGGCTGCGGCATATGGTCCCTGTGGTGCAAACCTTTTTGTTTGCATTGGCAGTCCAAGATGCGCATGATCAAGTCCAATCAGAAGTTTTGGTACCGCCCCGCGATACGGTTTCATTGGAAGACGTGCACCGTTGCCCCACATTTGGACGTCACGTTGATGCAGGCTTTGCATTGGTAAGCTGAGGTTGGACACGGCGTACACATTTCGCAACACATGCCGTTTGCGCTTGTCCGCTCCACTAACTTCCATGCTTACCACTGTGGTCGGCTCTCTGGTTGCTCTTCCACCAAACCACTGTATATTTAGTTGCCTGCGTTCCCCTTTGATATCTAGATCGCGCAGTAGTTCGTCGTCGATCATCGTTACAGACGAGCCCTCGTCGAGGAGCGCGTACGTATCGATCCGCTTATTGGCCCCGTGCAATGTCACTGGCAATATGCGGAATAGTAGGCGTTCTCCATCCGAATCGACACAACTTAAGTTCCTTTGTTGCGTCGATTGAGCATCCGCTGGCTGCGGTGCCCTTGTGTGAGGATCCGCTGGCTGCGGCATCCGTCCAGTATTCATCACTCTATCACCTGCTGGTTGCGGTGCATTGTGACTCATAGCATCATGATAATGTAAGAGTCGATGATGTCTCTTCCGGCATCCATTAACTTGGCATTCGTTGGCCCTATTGCAGACTCTTGCCATGTGGCCAACTCGTAAACACGAAAAACAAAGCCGGTGCCTTTTTACGACTGTCCACCTCTTTAGCGGAGAGGCTAAGTTAAACTCGTTGCAGTCCCTGACTGCGTGTTGTCCATTACAGATTGGACACTGTTTGGTGCGACCTCGGTGACGCCCTTCATTATTCTGGTCAATGCTGGCATGCAGCACTCTACGTCTTTGCTCCTTACTATCGACGTCCACAATCGTACATACCACATTGGCGTAGTCCGTTAACCACGCGCTAAAATGTACGACCGTCGGGAAAGGCCTAATCGTAGCTGCATGTCTGGCCCATTCCAACCTCTTGCTTGGTGGTAATTTAGCGACCAAATCCTCCATCAGTGTAGGATTCGCTAAATGCTGTTCCCCGTTAGCCGATTGTAGAAAGGCGGCAAGGTTACTTACGCGTGTAGCATATGGCACGATTTTAGCTATGCTGTGCTCCTGAATTGGCTGCACCTCTCGAATACTAATTAGCTGGCTGCGTATTAGCTGTTCTGGGCGGCCGTATCTAAAACGTAATTGTTCAATTACGTTGTTCACATTCCTGGGATGTATGAGCAACGACTTCACAGTGTCACGTGCTTCGCCTTTGAGTGCCTTCAACAATCGCTGGTTATTCTCCAGATTTGTACAGTTGTACGCCAAAGTTGTTTCCGTAAACGCGCAGAAGAATATAGGCCAATCCTCAGGTTGACCTCCAAACTCGGGTAGATCTGGTAATTTGCGTGGCAGGCATACATCGTTCCTGGGAGTCGTCCATGCGAAGTTCCCAGTTGCCTGCGTTGGCTCCAAAATTATCGTTTGTTGGTTCTCCTGTGCCGGAGTGTAGCTGAGCGTTGGCTGTGCAATGCCTGCAAAGCAATATGGCGTCGAGCGGCTTGACGTTGTAGAGCAGTTATCCATAACTGTAGCCCGTTCTACCGTTTGCAACTGTGTTCCCAAATTTCCACTCAATGACGTAGGCAGTGCCTCACTCAAAGATGGCGATCTGCTCAAAATGGTAGTTCCACTCAAAATTGCAGTTTCACTCAAACTTACTTTTGAATTTGGGACTACACTCATAGTTGCAGTTTCACTCAAACTTCCACTCGACGATGGCTCTCCGCTCTCCGCTCCGATCAAAGATGGCGGCAGGTTAGCTGTACCACTCATGCCAGCACTACTCAACTTAACGGGATCAGTAACTGTACTCACATGTGCTTGACCAGTTTTTGACCTCTGCAACTCGTGCTCTAGCACAGCGACTCTCTTTGTCAAATCCATGACTTGCGTACTTGAGAGTTGCGTGCTTGGGCTTGGCGCTCCTGTCAATGTGCTGGCTCGTGCACTCACTCCCGCGGCCACAGTGCCGGCAGGTTGTACACTTGTGCCCGCATCCACGGTGCTGGGGCTTTGTGGTGCGCTAACAGCGGGAACTTGCATTTGTGATACAGTGCTCACCATTCTACTTGTCCGCTTTGTCTGCGTCCCACTCGCCGTGGTAGCTATCTCCTGGCCATCGTTTAAGCGTGGGCTTTTCCTAGGTGACCGTTGTGTCATCCTACTCAGCTCGGAGATGGTTTCTGCTATATTTTACGCTGGCTGCGTACTAATGGTGACTCTATAACTGGGTGGAGGCCCTGCCTGTGCTGTGTCTATGTACACACACTGTAACACCAATGTTACACCACGTCTTGTCTTCAGCGCAAGTCGCCCTTGCAGTTTCTTACAATAAGAACTGCGAATAAAAGATCATGTCGCGTGCCAAATGAAGGTGGAGTTGCAATTTGAACACTGCAAGTTTACGCCTGGCCTCCGGCCATGTTACTCCGATGTTACTAGAGACAGCGTAATGCAAAACGTGCTAGTGCAAGTGTTTTATTCTAAACGGATTACATAGGTTAGAACTTAGATATATATTCCCTCGGAATCTTACCGCAGTCTTTCCTCCTACGGCTTTCGAACTCACGACAATAATGAGCTTAACATTTAAGTAATGGCGGCAACAAGCCAAATACAGTGTGCCCGTACATTCGGAGGGCAAATATACATACTTTCAGAATATACTTAATACTAAACAATCGATAAATTAATTCGTCCCGCAACACTGTCATAGGAACGATTGGTCGAAAATTAAGTTGTGTGAAAAAACATTTTGTTTTTCAATATTTCTTGACCAAACACGGCATTTATTAGGTTTACTATACTCCTCATATATAGGCAAAATTCTATTAAGATCGGACCTCTATATCATATATATGCCATAAGAACGATCGGTCGAATATTAAGTTGTTGTGTGAAAAAACAGTCTGTTATTCAATATATCTTGACCAAACACGGCATTTATTAGGTTTATTATACTCCTCATATATATGCAAAATATTAAGATCGGACCACTATATCATATAGCTGCCATGGGAACGATTGGTCGAAAATTAAGTTTTTGTATGCAAAAACATTTTGTTAAGCACGATATCTTGACCAAACGCGGCATTTATTAGTTTTACTACTCTCCACATATATATAAAAAATTCTATTTAGATCGGACCACTGTATTATATAGCTGCCATAGGGACGATCGGTCGAAAATTAAGTTGTTCTGTGAAAAAACATTTTGTTTTTTAAGATATCTTGACAAAACACGGCATTAATTAGGCTTACTATACTAATCATATATATGCAAAATTCTACTTAGAACGGACCACTACATCATATAGCTGCCATAGGAACGATCGGTCGAAAATTAAGTATTTGTATGCAAAAAAATTTTGTTTAGCACGATATCATAACCAAACTCGGCATTTATTAGTTATACTACTCCCCTCATATAGTTGCAAAATTCTATTAAAATCGGACCACTATATCATATTGCTGCCATAGGAACAATCGGTCGAAAATTAAGTTGTATGAAAAACATTTTGTTTTTCAAGAAATCTTGACCAAACACGGCATTTATTAGGTTTATTATACTCCTCATATATATGCAAAATATTAAGATCGGACCACTATATCATATAGCTGCCATGGGAACGATTGGTCGAAAATTAAGTTTTTGTATGCAAAAACATTTTGTTAAGCACGATATCTTGACCAAACGCGGCATTTATTAGTTTTACTACTCTCCACATATATATAAAAAATTCTATTTAGATCGGACCACTGTATTATATAGCTGCCATAGGGACGATCGGTCGAATATTAAGTTGTTGTGTGAAAAAACAGTCTGTTATTCAAGATATCTTGACCAAACACGGTATTTATTAGGTTTATTATACTCCTCATATATATGCAAAAACCTATTAAGATCGGACCATTATATCATATATCTGCCATAGGAACGATCGTTTGAAAATTAAGTTGTATGAAAAACATTTTGCTTTTCAAGATATCTTGACCAAGCTCGGCATTTATTTGTTTTACTACTCTCCTCATATATATGGTAAATTCTATTTATATCGAACCACTTTATCATATATATCGAAAATTAAGTTGTTGTAAGAAAAAACATTTTGTTTTTCAAAATATATTGACCACACACGGCATTTATTAGGTTTACTATACTCCTCATATATATGCAAAATCCTATTAAGATCGGACCATATATCTGCCATATATCATATATCTGCCATAGGAACGATCGGTCGAAAATTAAGTTGTTGTGTGAAAAAACATTTTGTTTTTCAAGATATCTTGACCAAACACGGCATTTATTAGGTTTACTATACTCTTCATATATATGCAAAGTCCTTTTAAGATCGGACCACTTTATCATATATCTGCCATAGGAACGATCGGTCGAAAATTAAGCTGTTGTGTAAACAAACATTTTGTTTTTCAAGATATCTTGACCAAATACGGCATTTATTAGGTTAACTATACTCTTCATATATATGCAAAATTCTACTTAGATCGGACCACTACATCATATAGCTGCCATAGGAACGATCGGTCGAAAATGTTGTTGTGCAAAAAAACATTTTGTTTTTCAAGATAACTTGACAAAACACGGCATTTATTAGGTTTACTATACTCCTCATATATATGCAAAATTCTACTTAGATCGGACCACTACATCATATAGCTGCCATAGGAACGATCGGTCGAAAATTAAGTTGTTGTATGCAAAAACATTTTGTTTAGCACGATATCTTGACCAAACTCGGCATTTATTAGTTTTACTACTCCCCTCATATATTTGCAAAATTCTATTTAGATCGGACCACTGTATTATATAGCTGCCATAGGGACGATCGGTCGGAAATTAAGTTGTATGAAAAAAAACATTTTGTTTTTCAAGATATCTTGACCAAGCTCGGCATTTATTAGTTTTACTACTCTCCCCATATATATGCAACATTCTATTAAGATCGGGCAACTATATCATATAACTGCCATAGGAACGATCGGTCGAAAATTAAGTTGTATGAAAAAACATTTTGCATTTATACTCTTGCAGAGGGTATAATAATTTTGTCGTGAAATGTGTATCGCAGGGAAGGAGACATCTGTCATAGAAACGATCGGTCGAAAATAAAGTTATTGTATGCAAAAACATTTTGTTTTTCAAGATATCCTGACCAAAGTTTGCATTTTTAGTTTTACTTTACTCCTCATATATTTGTAAAATTCTATTTAGATCGGACCCCTATATCATATAGCTGCCATAGGAACGATCGGCCGAAAATTAAGTCGTTCTGTGAAAAAACATTTTGTTTTTTAAGATATCTTGACAAAACACGGCATTAATTAGGCTTACTATACTCCTCATATATATGCAAAATTCTACTTAGATCGGACCACTACATCATATAGCTGCCATAGGAACGATCGGTCGAAAATTAAGTATTTGTATGCAAAAACATTTTGTTTATCACGCAATCCTAACCAAACTCGGCATTTATTAGTTTTACTACACCCCTCACATATATGCAAAATTCTATTAAAATCGGACGACTATATCATATAGCTGCCATAGGAACGATCGGTCGAAAATTTAGTTGTTGTGTAAAATAACATTTTGTTTTTTGAGAAATCTTGACAAAACACGGCATTTATTAGGTTTACTATACTCCTCATATATATGCAAAATTCTACTTAGATCGGACCACTATATCATATAGCTGCGATAGGAACGATCGGTCGAAAATTAAGTTGTTGTTTGAAAAAACATTTTGTTTTTCAAGATATCTTGACCAAACACTGCATTTATTAAATTTACTATACTCCTCATATATATGCAAAATTCTACTTAGATCGGACCCCTATATCATATAGCTGCCATAGGAACGATCGGCCGAGAATTAAGTTGTTCTGTGAAAAAACATTTTGTTTTTTAAGATATCTTGACAAAACATGGCATTTATTAGGATTACTATACTCCTCATGTATATGCAAAATTCAACTTAGATCGGACCACTACATCATATAGCTGTCATAGGAACGATCGGTCGAAAATTAAGTTATTGTGTGAAAAAACATTTTGTTTTTCAAGATATCTTGACCACACACGGCATTTATTAGATTTACTATACTCCTCATATAAATGCAAAATTCTACCTAGATCGGACCCCTATATCATATAGCTGCCATAGGAACGATCGGCCGAAAATTAAGTTGTTCTGTGAAAAAACATTTTGTTTTTTAAGATATCTTGACAAAACATGGCATTTATTAGATTTACTAAACTCCTCATATATATGCAAAATTCTACTTAGATCGGACCCCTATATCATATAGCTGCCATAGGAACGATCGGCCGAGAATTAAGTTGTTCTGTGAAAAAACATTTTGTTTTTTAAGATATCTTGACAAAACATGGCATTTATTAGGATTACTATACTCCTCATGTATATGCAAAATTCGACTTAGATCGGACCACTACATCATATAGCTGTCATAGGAACGATCGGTCGAAAATTAAGTTATTGTGTGAAAAAACATTTTGTTTTTCAAGATATCTTGACCACACACGGCATTTATTAGATTTACTATACTCCTCATATAAATGCAAAATTCTACCTAGATCGGACCCCTATATCATATAGCTGCCATAGGAACAATCGGCCGAAAATTAAGTTGTTCTGTGAAAAAACATTTTGTTTTTTAAGATATCTTGACAAAACATGGCATTTATTAGGCTTACTATACTCCTCATATATATGCAAAATTCAACTTAGATCGGACCACTACATCATTTAGCTGCCATAGGAACGATCGGTCGAAAATTAAGTATTTGTATGCAAAAACATTTTGTATATCACGAAATCCTAACCAAACTCGGCATTTATTAGTTTTACTACTCCCCTCATATATATGCAAAATTCTATTAAAATCGGACCACTATATCATATAGCTGCCACAGGAACGATCGGCCGAAAATTAAGTTGTTCTATGAAGAAACATTTTGTTTTTTAAGATATCTTGACAAAACACGGCATTTATTAGGCTTACTATACTACTAATATATATGCAAAATTCTATTAAGATCGGAAAACTATATCACATAGCTGCCATAGGAACGATCGGTCGAAAATTAAGTTATTGTGTGAAAAAACATTTTGTTTTTCAAGATATCTTGACCACACACGGCATTTATTGGATTTACTATACTCCTCATATATATGCAAAATTCTACTTAGATCGGACCACTACATCATATAGCTGCCATAGGAACGATCGGTCGAAAATTAAGTATTTGTATGCAAAAACATTTTGTTTAGCACGAAATCCTAGCCAAGCTCGGCATTTATTAGTCTTACTACTCCCCTCATATATATGCAAAATTCTATTAAAATCGGACCACTATATCATATAGCTGCCATAGGAACGATCGGTCGAAAATGTAGTTTTTGTGTGAAAAAACATTTTGTTTTTCAAGATATCTTGACCAAACACGGCATATATTAGGTTTCCTAATCTCCTCATATATATGCAAAATTCTACTTAGATCGGACCACTACATCATATAGCTGC